AAGATGACATAAGAAAACCAGCACACACCGATTTCCCATCAGTTGCCTTATTTCTCCTATTTTCTTCCACACCTGGTGTCAATTTATCCTTTAGAAAGGCAGCGAGAGCCCTGAGGCAAACAAACAGTCCGATGGCTGAGAGTAAAAACTACTTTATTCTTTCATTTTCTCCAAACAGAAAATCATAGAAATTCCAATAGGAAACACGTTGCTCTTTAAGAAATGTCCTTGTTAGAAATACCGTGAGGATGCAAAGATTAACTGAGGGTGCTGCAAAGGGAGGATGCAGATTCGGTGCGTCTCCATGACAGCCACAGAGGGGAGAGAAGGGAAAAGAATGGGAAATAGGGAGGAGAAAATGACATCAATCAAACCCAACATGCCCTGACAATAATGAAACAAACATAGCATCAAGCTCCTCTTATATGCTGCAAATGAAAAAGAAATAAAAATAAATTATCATGCGTTATAGTACAAGTCAGTAAGAGTTCCAAGTAAACAGCGTGGGGTTGCTGACTTGATAAATCAAGCAGCAAATTTAATCAATTTGATGTTTTAGTGGCTATCTGTAGGAAGTAAATGTGTGTGAGGGGGTGGGTGTGTTTTTGTGTGCTTGACTCGTGAGTTTTACTCTATTTCACCAAAACAGCATAGCCCTTTTCAAACCTTAAGAGGTGACATAGCCATCTTTAATTAACACTGTTATAATATGAAATGATGGATCTAGAGCAGTAACTGAGCAGTGTAAGCTACAAAAAAACAAACTAACAAAAAAAGTGTCTGTTTCCTGACTCTCTTAAGAGGGTTTTCTTTTAGGACTCCCCCAGAAATGAACGTGGATAATAACTATAATAACTATAATAGTCTTTTTTTCTTTTAAACTAGATTTTTCTCTGTACAAATACATATGTAGATACACACACTGGGCAAACCAATCACTTTTTTCAGAATAAATCTATGTCATCTATTTACAATATATCCAATATATTCTGCGGTGCAAAAATGACTTAGTGATGTGCTATATATACCAGCTCAAGTTAGACACCACCTATGCTGAGCAAACAACACAGTGATGAAATAAAGAAACATTTCTAGGACATCTTCATTTTTTTCCCTCGCAGAAATACATTTCTGCTTGTAAAATGTTCTAGTGTTTTTCTAAGGAAAATATAACTAAAATCTCTGAGGTATATACCCTGTGTAGCATAATTTCAAGGTTTAATAATTGCTTTTTATGGGGGCTTACTCTAAACCCAAATGTAACATGGGTATTCACATCATAGGAGTACATTTACAGGACGAGAAAGGCCTGCCTGTTTTAGCCTTGTTTTGAATGAATATCAGCCTGAATCCCAATGGCTTATGAGTAAGGAGTCTGAACACACATGGTGCATGAAAACGCCGCTCTCTCTGCAGTATCACATGTTGCAGTGCAGCAATCTTTCCTGAGCTCTGATCCACTGAATCAAAGCAGAGAGAAAGCAGACTGTTTCGAAAACACAGAATGAAGAGCGAAAACATGATTGTCTTTTTAGTTTTTTTGGGGGGTGGGGGGGACTAGCATAGCTTAACGTTGTTTTCCAGTATATTTCAAATTTCAACCACAAACATTACCCTTATTTGTTAGGACTTCTTTTTTTGACACACATAAGCATTATTATTATAAACTTATAAAAACAGTCTTAAATGTGACTGGCTGAGCCCCATTTCATACTGTTGAAAAGAAAAATTGTAACCCACATTTAGATCCGGTAAGACCGCAGTACAAAATATCCCTGCATTAGTGTCAACAGGCGTAGCGGGCCTAAATTGATTGTTTGTTTTGCTAGACTACCATTCTGCCCACTTTATCAGATTTGGTGCAGAGAATAAATATTTCCCAGTCGTCTCTAAAATGAATAGCTGATTTTAGGAGGATGCTACTTTTTAAACTTTAACTTTGTAGTGAACTTTAATATGGTGGATGGATGAGTGGTTGGAGGATCAGAGATTGAACAGCACCGATTTCCTCACACATTACGATGCCTCACATTTGTAAAGCAGCCACCTGACACTCCAGCACAAAGATTGAAGATCACACTATGGTCGGATGAGACCAAAGCTGAACTTTCTGGCGCCCTATACGAATCATTCAAACTTAAAATAACTTGTCAATCTTTAAAACTTAATACAGAAATAGCCACATTCTGCTGTAGGGAGGCTCTCCCTCGTCACGAACTGGTCGGAATTCATAAGATGTATATAGTTAAACACAAAGTAATGCTCGAAGTAAAAATACGTTGGAAGATACAAAAGACTTAAAGGTATAGTCAAGGATGTACTTTTTCTGGGTGGATCATCAAAATAAATGGTTCTAATTGTCAATCATTCTGGTGATATGTTTCTGTGCATGCACACTTTCAGGCGGGTATGTGAGGCTTGCCTTTCTCCCCGCGGTTCTTTGAAAATGGCACAGGGTCATAAGAGAAAAAGTGTCTACGAAGTGTATTAGGCAGAGAAAGCTCTCAGAAGAGAGAAACAAGAGTTTTTTTGGAAGATAATGCAATGGCATACACTGAAAGCACAGCTCAGGCTTCCCACTGATGCCTCAGTTGCGAAGTTTCTACTCGATAGGTAAAGTTTGGCATAGTATTTGGAGAAATCCATTTCACATCACTGTTAGTAAAAGAGAGAAATGGGCTAGTGCATGCTCTCACACACGTTTAATAGGAATTCCATCTCGGGAGCGGGTACAGGGTTGAATAGGAGCATTTTTTTTTAAGTGGAGAGGGCGAGTAATTTCAAAAATTTGCAAAAATCCTCCCAAATACCTTTTATATTATACTAAAGTACATCCAACAACATTTTTGTTTTCTTTAATGGCATGGTCGTGGTTCAGACTTAGTGTAATTAATGTTTGGCAAGAATTTAAAGTTGATCTATACAGGGGTTCCACCCATGCAAATGAGATTAGACTACTTTGCTGAGAGAAAATAGTATAAAGTAGTATTAAATCAAACAGATTTTTAGAGGTGCAAATCTGGCTCAAAATCCTTTTAAAAATTTTACCGCTGTTTGCAGCAAAAGGAGGTTTGGGGAAGTATTACCACAGAGCGGTACACAACATTTCCTCTTCCTATTATTATTAAAAGTAATCAATTTTTATTTTTGCTGTGAAACACTTTGTGCTTTCTGACATATATTTTATAATAAAATATAACAAAACACAATAAAGCATAGTAAGCATTTTGTGTTGGTTCATCACCCTAAGTCTCAACAAAATCGAATAAAGTTTGTGGTTGTAACCAAAATTGGTATATGAAGAATGGTATGTAATATAAATACCAATTGAGGGCCATAAAAATAGCAATTTTCTAAACACCAACATTAGTATCTGGAAAAGGTTCTGCAGGAGGTTTCCTCCGGTTAAAAGGGATGTATTTCTTCTCCACTGTCGCTACAAGCATGCTTAATGAGAGGGATTGCCTGTGATTCAATGAGTCATGGCAATCAACCCATTTTCCTTAGATAGAAAACTTTGAATCAATTTGACTGTATGATCTGGTCGAATTGTAAAGTGCCTTGAGATGACATGTGTTGTGAATTGGCGCTATATAAATAAACAGAATTAAAAGAGAAAATGTTGGAGTCCTGCATTTTTGTCTTTTCTAGGCTGATTCTCTTTGCTGTCTCGAGGCTTCATGTTCCAAGCTCGCTGAGACATTTGCTGAATGGTTGACATTTAAAAAAAAAGGAAACCATAACTTAAAAAAATCTGAAATGTAGACAAGCTACATCAGTTAATACTGGGTGACATTTTGAAGACAAAGAAAGGAAGAGATGTCTTTCAGGACAGCCATTGAAGCTCATCCATAGTCAGAAACCACACAACCGATCAAGTCCTAAGAACGGATTCTTGATTTCTTTCTCCTCCCCACCAATGCTGTATTTTCAGAGCTTTATTTTTCTTTTCTTTTTTTATTTGCATTAACTTGTGCTACACCAACTTGCAAGAGTGAGGCTCAACTGTTTTTATTTTCAAACAATGCTGCGGGAGCCACTGGAGTTGCGCCTGCGTGTGAGAGGCATGGTGTGGTGGAAGGGCACAGGCGAGTCCGGTGGACAAAACTGGTGGGGATGGTTGTAAGGTGGAGGAGGGGGTGGCAGAGGCGGTTGGGGTCCGTCCCCTTCTCTGACCCGCACAGGTGTTGACATTGCAGACTGGATGAGCTGATGGCCTGCTGGGCCTTGGCTGAGAAATGCCTCCATTCGTCCTCGTCCACTCTGGTCGACGACGATCACTTTGACAATCTGCTGGCACTGGATGAGGGTCTCTGGGCGCAGCTCTCCGGTCGTAACGGTGCTGAGCAGGGTGGGTGGAGCAGCCAGGGCAAGGGGTGCTGACTCAATGCTGGGCTGGCTCAGCTGATAGGTCTGCAGCCTGTTGTGAATTGACACCTAGTTTAGGAACAGTCAGAGAACGCATGAGGAGTTACCATCCTGAACGCAGCCTCTACGCAGCCCTCTGGTGAGTTAACGAACAAGGGCATGCAGGCATGCAGGTGGTAGCATGCAGTGCGAGCGCATGCAATATTCACACTCTCTCTTGCTGTCCCTAATCTCTTCACTGAATCTACATTTACATTTAATTTCTCATCAGAACCTTTTCAAACACCAGCCCAAAAGGAGAAGAAGGGGTGTGGGGTAAGAAGAGAATTTAGGCAGAACTTTTAGCAGGAAAAATTCAGGACAGTGCCATAATAGAGAATGAGTGGCAGAATGATAGGCTTAAATATAAAAGAGAGTCAGGAGAGGAGTGAGGTGACACCGAGGGCGTGGTGTCTCTCTAACACAATAAGTTACAACTCTAAGGGCTAAGCGAAAGGCAGAGGAAAGAGGGAAACATGAGTAAAACGAGTAAAATGAAGAGAGATCTACAAAAGAACGAACAGACTTATCAGTATGCCAGTACTTAAAGAGACAGTAAAGGATGTTTAAAATGTGGTTCTGTTAAAAGGTCATATGTATTTTTTACTTTATCTTTAATTTGTGACTGGCTGGATGTGCCCTCTTCATCATCTGACATGGGAGCTGGCTCGGAGCTCGTCTGCCTGGCTGTGTGTTTCCTGGAGGGGGCCGCCTCTTAAAGTGGCCTTTTGTATCTTTGCTTCTGTCTCCTTGAACCCCAGTCGGCCTCAGCAGATGGCCGCTCACACTGAGCCTGATTCTACTAGAGGTTTCTTCTTGTTAAAGTGGAGTTTTCCCTCTCCACTGTCGCTACAAGCATGCTTATTGTGGGGAATTGCCTTCGAGTCAATCAGTCGATGCAATCAACTGGTTTTCCTTAGATAGAATACCTTGATCAATATGACTGTATGATCTGGTGAACTGTAAAGTGCCTTGAGATGACACGTGTTGTGAATTGGCGCTATATAAAAAAACTTAATTGAATTGAATAGCACGCTCTTTTTTTTTTTAAGCACCGCCCAGTTTCTCATCAAAGTTCATCTGTGTCAACTGCTCCAGTCTCTATTTAACCTGTCTGCTTCCAGTCATCAATTCCAGATTATTTGAGCCCTTAGTGAGAGTCTTCTCGCAAGTCAAAGTGTTTTCTGATTGCCTGATTCTAACCTGTATGGCCTTTGGACATTTTAGCCTGTTTCTTCCCGTTCTGATCTGTTTGCCTGACCTGTCTTTGGAATCCTGCTGGAATCTGCCTCTGCTTATTGACACCGACCTGGATTTCCCTTTGGTACCTATTGGGATCTCTGATCTTCTAGCCTGGACTCCTGTAAACCTCTTCAACACCAGCTCTGGCCTCATCCTCTGGATTGTCCTGCCTTCCTTTGTCTGCTTGGATCTGATCTCCTGCTAGTTTTTCTTCAAGGCTTCAGTGTCTAGAACTCTCTGGGCACCGTTCATCGCTTCATGTTGGCAAGCTGGATCCACCTCTTCCGGCATGGACTTAAGACTAGGTTACTGTCTCACATGTTTGTAATCATCTTCCACCGGATAGACGTGGTCACTAACCTGTGTTTCCCTCCTTCAGAGGTTCCTGCCTTAGAAGGCCTAGCTGCCCTATGCCACCCCCTCATTTTTAAATAAATACCTGTTGAGAAACCTTTCTGTCTGCCTTGAATACTGGGTCTAGTCTTAAAGCTGTATAAAGGTATCAATGATGCAAAATAAAGAAAATTTTAGAGATATTTTCATTACTTTTTCTGTTTGATATCTACTCTGACCAGAACTGTATTAAATGCACTATTCCAAGTCTTCTTACAAGTTCTCAGTGTTTCTCATTTGGGAGCAGGTGTTGATTGCACCTCTTCCAACTTCCATTTTCATTGTGAATTATCAGCTTATTGGTACTGTATATAAACCCCTATTCAAAGCATGACAACAATCTAAAGGTCCATCAGATAATATTATGATAAACAATTTAAAAATTAGGGTTGTTTATAAGGCTAAAGGTCTTTTTTGGCTCTTAGCAACTGTTGGACTAAGCAACATGTTATCTTTCAGTACAACCTAATCTGGATTTTTATTATATTAAGACACCAAAGAGTTAACGATTATGGGTAACATATTAATGGTTTATAACCTTTTAACAGAACCTCAATTCCTAAATCCAAGACTATCACTTTAAAGGAGGGGCTGGATTTACAGAGAACCAACAAAAAATCAACACATGCACCTCTCAATTGGTAACAGTATCAAGCTTATCTAGCTTTGTCGATGGTGTTCTGGGAGCCAGCAAGCTTTATACTAGCTCAAATCGTAAGTCTGGCAGGTTTTAGCCGGGATGTTTCAGGGGATGTTTTGTAAGCAATGGCTGCCGGTCCACTTATGAGATACAGAATGAGGCTGTTTGCAGCACCACTACAGAGCTACCCCTCAGCAGCCTTTGTACGTTTGTCTGCATAGTAGGGATGTGCTGCAGGCGGTGCTCTTTTAAAGCAAAGCAAAAAGCACTCTCTTTTCAGGATGAGGCACAGTCCCTGTCTAACTGCATATACACACACAAACACACGCAACATTCACAGAGCCGAATATGCTGATACCTACCTGAGGGAGACGAGAGTAGCTTAGGCACTCACCTCTACTGTGTTGTTGTTGCCGGTTTTATCATACGCATCATGTTGGCCTATGGGAAGAAAATGCATCTTTGTCAGGCATAGTGCGTTTATGTATACTAAAAACCAGGGACAGAAGATTAGATAGGGGCCTGGCATTTAGTTAATGTATGCGTCATTATGCTACACAAGTAAGACCAGCACCTGAGGGAGAGCCATGTCCTGTGTGTGTCTCCAATTGCCCACCATTGGTGTGTAAACCATGTGACTGGATGCCTTGCTGCCTCTCTAGTTCCCCTACAAGACAAATCAGGCAATAATACTATAAGCTCCAGTCAGTGTAGCAAGAGTTGTAGTGTGGAGTTTTTTTTTTAAATCAAATTAGCATATATTTAGGGTAGTGTGCTTGTGTCCTTACACTGAATGTGTATCTGTTCCATCTCGTTGACCTCTGCGATGGCTTCTCTGAGCTCCTCTGCAAACTTCCTGAGCTCCTCTCCACTTGGAGAACAGAAACTAACCAGCTGCTTCTTCTCTGAGGTAAAGGGGCTCATCATCGTAACACCATGAGCGTAAACTGATAAAGTACCAAACAGAGAGACAAATATATAAACACTTGACTATAGATCACAAGAACTGAATCAGTTTAAGGCAGATCTTTTTATGCACAGGTAGAGTATTAAATATTTAAAGAAAAAACTACAAATCCAAGTTGTGAAATTCATCCTAATATACATGAATATGATGTGATCTGTATTTAAATTATATATTTGCTTTATAATTTCTGTTTTATTTTTTACTTTAATGTATTGAATCCTATGCTAAAAGGTGTTGGCATCCACTTTTTCATCTTTGCAAAGCTGGAAAATTGTGTCATGAGACACATCTGAGCATGGCTAAGAGCTTATTTTGCAGTCGTGACATCCAATCACTCAATCTGTTGTGCACCCTCACTTCAAAGCAATACCTCTTTCTGTGCATCTAGCCATAATGTGAAGGTACTTAACACGTATAAAACAAGGTCCTCAATGTACTGTAGCTACCCTAGTAAGAATGTCATTAGATACAATGCTAGATTATGCAAGGGCTTTGCAAAAGTATTTACAGCACTGGTACTTTTTCAAATTTGCCTCATAAAAACCTTTCCTCATAATAATTTCTTCAGATACTCAGCAATAAACCAGAACAAAATAAGGCATAGGTGAGTCAAAGGGACATAATTGTATATATTCACTGAGATTTGGTAAATATATACCTTAACTCTGAAGCCTCTATAAAAGCCAATACAACCAAGTGCTTTTAGCATGTTACCCTGTCAAGATCTGGAGACGTTCCCTGCACAGCACTGATAAGGAGGAGTGTTAGTGTTGATGGACTAATGGATGGAGCTAAACACAGGAAGAAAACCTATCAAGATGTGTTTTACTTTTTTCAGGACAGTGCATTAGTTCAATGGGTTATAATATGTTGAGAGGCTGTAGGTGACTGGTGTACATCAGAAATCAATATTTTTTAAGGCTATTGCAAATCTGCAGGTTTGCAAAATTATAATAGGATGACGAATCATTTGAAATCAATTTCCAATAAAAAAAAAATCTTTTTTTGTTGTTTTTTGTAAATAGGTGCTTAAAAGCAGAAACTAAGGAATCATAAATTTGTATAAATAAATGACAAGTTTGTTTTGGTCAGGAGTAGATTCTGTATTACCTGCCAAAGAAACACCAATACCCAGTGTCGTTTCCCGTACTGTTTTTATTTATTACCTCTTAATTTATTATTAAAATGTTTCTTCTTCCTGGATTGGGGCACCTCTCTTACCAACATTCTTTTCTCCATCAGAATCAATAAATTGTATTTGGAATGTTTTTACATCTTCAGGCTAAATGGATCTCTATTGCAACTGTAATATTTGAATCAGTTACAACAAATCATATTTACTACAGGATATTTACCACAATTTAATAGTCATATGTAACATTAGGTATTGCTATGAACTGTTGCAGTCAGAGTGCTGATACTGACCTGACAGAATAACAGTAATATGAACGACTTTGCCAGCTCAGCACTTTTTGAGCTCAAAGCTGGGGCTTGTAATGGGAATAAATTGCTGCAAAGTAAAGTAGCATCTTACACTCATTGCTGAAGAGGTGAAACTGCATTCCCAAAAGACCCATAGCTTTGCAGAAAGTGTATGAAGCTGAGCTTTTCTTCTTGGGACACAGCTTCAGAATCTGCAAACACAAACAGGCTGGATATGAAACCGTATTTCCTATTGTGTGTATGACAGCATGCAAGTTAATGCGCACCAGTGCATCTATTTAAAGGTTAATCCTTACCAGCAGCAGGTCATTAAATAGGAACACCTCCCTTTGGAGAGCGGATAGTTTCTGTTTGTGTGGTTTGTTGGCATCAGGAACCTCAAACAGACGGCAGCAGCACACCAGCCGCCTGTGGGGCACAGCGAGGACCTACAGGAACAAGGTTAAACAGAAGGAGATGGTAGCTAATACAATTCTGCTGTGAGATAGTTCATATCAAAGGAGCCAGGATTAAGCCGAGGAGAAAAGAAGAAAGTCTGTTACTCACTGTTTTCAAGCCCAGGATCGACTGCTCCACACGACTCACATAGGTGACATGGTCTTCGTTAGAGCGCAGCTCTCTCTGCTGAATTCTTTCATAAATGCCGGCAACCATCTCTCTGGGGATGTCTGCTCCATCATCCACACCTGAGAGAATTCAAACGTTTATTGAGCGCTGACAAAAAAAAAAAACAGTTCTGATACCACTGCTCTGGAGCACAAATGCATCAAAGCATCAAATTATATAAATACAAATAATTGTCTTTGAAATGTATATTAGATTGTCTTAATTCCTGCAAAGAAAATACAATTATTGTGTTTGTGGTTCTTCTCAAACTGCATTGTTTTTTTAAGGCCATCTTAGATATTGTATAGAATGCTGCCGTGCAGTTCATCATTGCTGTTGGGCAGAAAACTTTAATTCATAGAATTTGAATAAACTTTTTTATGAATTAATGTCCTACTTTATAAAAATGTGTCTCATAAAAGCTGTGAAAATAGCAGATCTAGTTCAACAGATCATATTGGTTAAAAAAGCAGACAGACAAGCTAACAAAAATCAATAAAGGAATGGTTTTAGACATGCAAGGTTTCCATTGTAAAGCAAACACTTCCTGATCTACTATGAATTATGTAAAATCTTCATTGCTCCAAAAAAAGCAAACAACAAAGCATCCTTCTTTTTAGCTTTGCAATTTTAGCTTTATTTCTTCAATTTGCCCCTTAGTTACTGCTTTTCAGGGGTCAGAGTAGATTTAAATTTACAGGGTTTTGATATTAAAAAAATATAATATAACCTACACAATTGTCTTGTAATGCCATGGCAATCCAAACCTAAATTAAATGAAAACGCTAACTAAAATGTTGAAATATTTAAAGGAAACAGAAAATGTTTTATCAACAATACAAGGAAACATTTACATCATATTTAAATAAATAGAAATTAGAACAATGAGAGAGAAATATTCGAAGATCTATGTACCTTTTCAACTGGCTCTTTTTCCAAGAATAAACAGATTGCAATAAAATATTTTATTTGGATATAATTTATGGATTCCTTTTGGAAGAAATGAAAGAATATTTTGCATCGCCTCTTGTGACCTGGAAGAAATATTTTTTGCTTGGCAGAGGATGATCAGCCCGATATAGTTTATTAAGTAGCAAGAGCAAGAAGAGCCATAATGCTGAGGGCAAACCATCAGAGTGGGACGTGAAGCGCAGACTCTGAGCTCAACACACAAAGACGCCTACAGTAAAGTCGGGAACTCTGAGTGTTGGTTTCACAACGGCTGCTTTTACCTAGTTCAATCAATTCTGAGTAGGTCCACTCAGAGCTTAACAGTGTTCCTGGTCTGACAAATAAGCTGAACCAATTTAGCAGAATAGAAGATTCAAATGCAGCACTGATATTTGATAAAACCAAGCTAGAAGTTGGATGGGGGTGATTAAATGATAAACCAATATTCTCTAAGTGCTGTGATATCTGATAATATTTGTTTAATTGAGTACTTAGTTAAATGGAAGCAGGATCCCAAATATCTCAAATGCTCCGCCCTGAGAAGCAGTTTTAAGACGTAAGAAATATCACAAATATGGTTTAAAGAACTTGATTAAGGTATAGCTTTTTCTGATGTGGGGGGTGTTTTAAGTAGGTTGTTCACTAGATGGAATTAAATAGACATTCATGACTGTGTGAGGGAACCGCTGCGCTGAGTAATGGATTTTGCAGTTGGTTTTATACTCACGTATTCAATGTTATTATCGGCTGTTCTACTCACTTTAATCTTGCTTCAGTTCCTATGATTGCTTTTGTTTTTTACCTTTTCTTCTCTGTTCATTTAATTTAACTGCTTTTACACACCTGGCTGTTGTTTGCTGATTGCCACTCAGCCCTTCTTCGTTTGTTTTTAATTCTCTCTGCTCAAATTGGGGCTAAATTCCTGGGCTTACTGACAGATTGTTGTAATTGTTTCTTTCCCTGTTTAATGCCTGACACATTTTGGATTAACCTTTTGTCGGGAAGATTCCCTGGATTTTAATTTAGCAACACTCTTGTTTTTTTGCTGTTGGTTTTTTCAAAAAAAGGAAAAAAGTTAAATGCTTTTTTCCCAGCTGCTGTATTGTCCGACTCTTCTCTATATACTTTTTCATCTTTGCCTTAACACTCATCTCACCATTAACATTTGTCCTGTACTCTAAGTGCTGATTATTCATAAATGTTGAATCATTATTCATGAATCCTGACACACAGGAAACAACAGCCATAATGAGACGTTATAATCTAAATTCATCATAATATAGTTGGTATGTTTGAAAATATGTTGGTTTTCTGGAAAATGTGGTGTTATATTATCTACATTTAGCATACACATTTATGTAGATACAGTACACATTTAAGGGCATGATTTTTTTTTTTTTTTTTTGTAATTCAAGGCTTTTGATAATTTATTTGAATAACTCAAACTGAAAGAGTTTGGTGCTCGAGTTGTACTGCTGTGTATAATCTATTCACATAATTAACCAAAATGTTACACACAGGTTAAACACTTTCAGCACCTGTTAATTTAGGTGGCAGATTCCTGGCTAAATATTTGACTTCTATTATTGGTAAAATTCTTAGGCCATTCAAACGAGAAAGACTTTGGCCTGCTTGTGTGGTCAGGACCAAAAGCTGATTTTAATTTCATTTTTTTTTTTTACATTTCAGTACCCATTTATGGTACACTTTGAGGAATAATCTTTATTAATCATATAAAGACTTATAAAAGCTTAAAATACTTAGATTGGTAAATATAATATAAATATATGCTTCTTTAAACTATATATAGTTTTTCTTGCTAATGCTATAAGGTATAAGTGCTAGTGTTTTTTTATCTCCCTCTTATGTCAAATTAGTTGAAGCAGAAAATACTGTAGGAGCCCTTTTGATAGGATAAGAATAATCATTTTCATTGACGTACCTCGCAAGGTCAAATGACCTAAGGTTTGTTGAGGCAGGAGAAAAGTGGTTTGAATAGAAAGAAAGATACTGTGCAGCTAAAGGAGACAATTCTGACGCAATTACTTCTTAAAGGACGAGGTTTGATAAATGGAACAAAAAGTGTCTGTAGCTCTGGCGAATAAGCTACAGCATAACTTTATTAGATACTTGTTAATTACACATACTATCAGATACCCAATGTGTTTCCCAGTACGGTAACACATTGTTCTACTGATGTCACATGTGAAAGTGGACACTCTTTTGTACGAGTATACCCACAATTATAAAGACTAATGTGTTCATGATTCAATACTCTTTGTTCATTCTGTGAGCATGCTGTTAACTGGCCCCAGTGCTGATTTCTGTAACCCATTCTCTAAAATGAGAGGAAGCAGTCAAGTCTTTAAATAACAGTACTTTATGTAATAAAGTACTAAATATAGATTACAAAGAAGTTACCAATGTTGGGGTCGTTGCTGCCACTGGATAGAAAGTGCTAGGGTTAGTTAGAGCAGAGACCAGAAAATAAAGAAAACAAATGACCTTGGGAGTCCTTCATGAAGCCTTTTTGTTTTACATATTTGATCATTATTATAACTCATTTTCAGAGTCAAAAGCTGCATTGGGACGGCATCGGAGAATGCATCACATAAGCCACCTGCAGTATGCTGGCAACATTGTTGCTAAGCAGCAGAGAGCGTATCAGATATGAGTTTGATGCTTCATTCACTGCTACTTTGGCTTGCTAAGTCCAAAGAGATATATGCTGCCTGGATTTGGGTTGGGCTAAAAACTGTTTGTATCCAGACCAAAGTTTGCTAGGAAGCAGAAGAGCATTTACAAAAGTTGGGTCTCGGCCCAATAGTTTGGTTTGAACTAGACTTTCCTTAAAAGTATACTGGAGGATTTTCGCAAATTTTTGAAAGTATTTCAACCCTGTACCCGCTCCAGCAAGGGAAAGCGTACTAAATGCGTGGGAGAGCATGCACAAGCCCATTTCTCCTTGCCCGCTCTGTTTGAAAGTTATAAAAACATACAAATAATGCTTAAAAACCAAGATCAACTCAACTAATTATTTAAGGTCGTAAAGAGATGATAATTTATTTAGCTGCCTTTCATAAGTGTACAAACTTTTTCCTTTTAAAAATGCAAAATTTACACAGTAACAGAATAGTAGAAAAGGGCAGTCAGATTTCCATCGAATGTGTTTGTTTGTATGATCTACTGTTTATTGGAAGGAGGGGACATAAAAGTTAAATTCTTCTTCTATAGGATGCTGTTTGTAATAACTCAATAAAGGTTAGGTCAAGACATTTCTGTAAAACCTTGCATCAACATCATTAAATCTGACACTGAGCGATCCTCAATTAACTGCGCTGACACCAAAATCTCTGGAGCTGAATTGAGGATATCAAGAATCGCATTCCGCAATGCTGATGTTTTTCGGATGATAGCAGGAAGAAGCTGCCGTCCTCAGCCTCTTTGAGTAATTTACTTCAGTTCAGGAGCCTGTCAGTCAGAAAACAGATAGTAAGGTTGATATGCCGTAAAGCTTTGACTTGCCCTGCCCTCTCCTCTTTTCTTCATCTTCCTCATCATTCTTCCTGGCATTTCAGCCAGATGAATCTCTTCTACAACAGATGTTGACTGTGCCAGCTGAACATCTTTGCACACACA